GGCGCCTGGAAGGCTCCAATTTGATTTTGCAGGCTGATGGTCTGACTCGTGGCCTGAAACGGCACCTCACTTCCATTGTCCAAAGCTCTTAGGCCGCCGTTCGACCCCGACCCGTTCTGGACTCGGAGCACCGCTTCCCCAGTGGTAGCATCTCCATTGAGGACCTTGAATTCCACGTCCCCCACCACGTTTTGTCGCACCTGAGCAAGGGTACAGACCTGCTCTATTCCCGTAGTGCCTCCAACAAAGCTGAACCATGCGGGCGAAGACACCAGCCCAGGATCCACTTGAATGGTGGACGCGGTGAAAACGGTACCGTCCAGGTACATGCCCGTGATACCGCCTCGAATCGTGAGAAAGGCGTCCGCGAACCGCGCCTTGACGATGGGCGAGCGCAGCTCCGTGGAGAGCTCAGCGCTGCCAGCGGGGACGGTGCCTTGCACATCTAGGTTTCCCATCAACACGAAGCCGTTAGAGCCCCCGGTGATGGTCAACTCCGTATCTAGTGCCCGCGTGGAGATGGTGTTGGTCCCCAGCCCCGTGGCCGCCCCGACGACGTCGTCAATGTGCAGCTGGTCATCAAGCCGCAGCCTGGAGGCCACCATGTGCACTTCGGTAGGAGCGAAGGTGCCCAGGCTGTTATCTGCCTGATCCGTGATCCTCACGGAAACCGTGCCCGATTTGAGGTTCAGAAACTAACAGAAAGACAGATAAAATAGAGACAGAGATAAATAATCTGCAGAATTTCATCATCCTAAACATGTCCCCTTCGAGCGAACAAAACTTTGAAATTTTAATACCACGAGATCTCTAAAGGCTCGCCGAAAATTTCGGAAATTTCACGACCGCGAACATATGCACCCAAAATTTCGCAAATTTCAGAACCATAAACATATCCGCCTCAAGCTATCAAAATTTCGGAAATTTTATAATCGCGAGATTTTCTCAAGCTACCAAAATTTTGGCACCGGAAGCGTACCGAGAGAGAAAGCTCGTAATCATAAAATTTCCGAAATTTTAGCAGAGTAAGAGAGGTACGCCAGAGAGTTTCAAAAAGAATGACATCAAAAGACGAAGTTATACCTAGGGCTAAACCGCGCACAAAATCACGATCCCAAGCAACACGACCTCATTTAATTAGAGAATATAATGACCGTAAGAAAGACACGAATTCAGAAGAAATCGACGATATCGACAAAAATCGATAAATATATAAACCCAATTTCTATATAGAAATATGAATCAATATCATCATATATATATATATAGAAATATAATTTCTCTCATCATAATTTCTTCTTTTTCTATCTCATATTCCCATTAGATTTTTATCATCCTCCTATATAATATTTTAGCATAGAAATATTTTCTTAAATTATATCCTTCTTATTTCGATTAGAAAATTAATTTCAGAATTACTATATCTATATTTTAGAATTTTCTACGCAAAATCTTCGTAATTATTATTTATAAAAATTCTTCCGCAATTTTTCTTTGATCTTTGTCCTAAGAAATACATATTCCTAGTAAAAAACCAAAATATACCGTTATAATTTCGCCCATATAACGTGCGAAAATAAATAAACAAAAGAATAATATTCAATTATATCCATAATTACCGACGCATTTTAAGAATATCGAAAATAATATATGGAGTAAAAAATTCCTCGCCTTCCATAATATCTCATGGTATTAAGGCGAAATCGCGCCAATCGATTTGCCCACTTTCTTTGGATCTTTAGTGCAGCAGCTTGAATTGTGGGGTGCGCTGTCTTACAACAGTGCTGGGAAAATCATGAGCTGGTTCATGGATTTCAGCCTTTAAAATGTGAGCGGACTTCTGCCAATAAAACATTGTGCACAAAACAACACTTCGTCTCATTATGCATGCACAGCTTGCACTAATTTGTGCACGCGCTTCAGAGTACAGAATTTGGCACCAAGCGGCTTGTGGGAATGCTGTTTCTCCGTCGGTCTGGCTGAGATAGGCATCTCACCCGGTCTTCTTTGTTGTGGCGCCGGAGGCGCCGCGTTGCAGCAGCGTTGGCATTGCGGCGGCGGGCTCTACGGCAGCCGTACAAGGCAAATCAGTATCATCACTCTCTTCCCTTGAGTTTTGAGCGAGAATGTCTGTAAGTTCTTGGAACTCTCTCACGAACTGGCTGTTGACGGCCATCAGCGCTGTTCGCATGGAACTGCGCACAAAGCTATTCATGGAGTCAAAGCCGCCGGGCATTTGCTCCACCAGATCCCGAATCATGCGAAGGTCGTCTGGGTTACTTGCGTCAGCCCTACACATGTCCAGGTTTGCCAGGCGCTTGGCCGTTGCCATGGCAACATCTGTGCCTGACTGGCCCGCATTGATCACTCCGGTAGAAGTGCAGAACTGAAGACCTCCGAAGCTCTTGTCCTGCTGGGAGAGCAAGAGTGTCTGCAACACTTCAAAGAGGCACCAAGCGCGTGTCAGTGGAAGGGCGAGCTCATCTAAGACCATAGCAGTTCCTCGGCACCGTGCATCTCGAAGCGCAAGGTAGAAGGAAGACTCCTGCCACTGGCCGTTGCCAAGCTCCTGAACATGCTAGATCATTTCTATCAGAATGCAAGGAAACTCATTGCGGTAGGATCTTCTCAGGTGCTTGGCGAACTGAAACGAACGAACATGTTTTTTGTTTTTCGATTCAAGTGTGCTAGGCCTCGCGGCGAGTTGCTTCAGGGTACGCTCAGGTTCGAACTTTGAGCCTGTTTGTGGTTGTCTCGGAACGACAAGACATTCCAAGTAGCTTGCCTAAACGATAAACCTCACAGGCTTACAATGTCCGCGCCCGCTATGTGACCGGGGATGCAACCTGGTACGAGTACAGTGTATACAAGATCATGTTGACCGCGGCTGGTCACTTCTACCTCAATACTGAGTCAATACTGCAATTCGCATAATTTGCCATCCATCACATTGCATTCTAAGTATACTTACTTCCTGTGGCTTGCCTCTTCAACTGCCCACTGGTTGTTGCTGAAGGTGCAGATCCAGTATGCATTGGTCTTCCAGTCTTCGCCGTGGATGAGCTGCGCGTGCTTGCGGACCGAGTCAGCGAAGTGGCGCAGAGCAGTTCCCCAGTAGTGGCTCACGAACCAAGCGACGGGACTAGGCCCAACCATCTCAGCAAAGGAGACGGCATCCCTTTTCGTAAGTGGCTGGATGATGTTGTCGTTCACGTAGTACATGGTGCGCTGCAATATGAAACCTTGGAAGAATTCCACGAAATCCACCAACTGCTTTGCGGTGATGGCGCGTTCAGGACCTCGCTTGCACCGACGAAGCCTCTTCTCCAGGCCTTTCGTGAACTGTTCCCGGTGCTTCTCCAAAGGAGTGTATGGGTTGAGAAAATACCAGTAGCCCTGCATAATGAGAACGACTGCAAGAATAATCAAAGCGCCCCAGGCAAACGCCGAGAACGAGAACCTTGCAACTCGCGCACATGCAACTGCTGCCATCGCTACCAGGGCGAGCCAGACAAGAAGCGGAACGTTCAGGTATCCAGTTGCCGTGAAGGCCCATCTGACTGGAATCCGCAAACTGCCGCTAGATGTATCCCATGGACCGGTGTTGCCTTCTGGGTGAAGCAAAACCAACTGGCTACTGCCAGAAGCGCATGCCCGGAAAGGTTTTTCGCCGGGTCTGTCCAGCCGCGGAACGGATGTGCCGCTGAGGGTCACTTCCGTTCCCAAGCTCTTCCAAGGCATGATCCTGTGAGGGTGCTGGGTGGTGATCAACACCTGTTCCCCTTGCAGAGATATATCCACAATGGAAACCACGTGGCAGAAAGCGCGAACCAGTAAGTTCCCAAAGGCCACAGCGAAGATCAGGGTCAAGACAGCACAGGTGGTGGCAACAGGATCCCAAACGCAGCCATGCTGGTCCAGCGCAGCAACAGCAAAGAGTTGTTCTGAGCATGAGGTGCACTCACTGCTGCCAACAACCTGCGCAATGCTTCCTGGAGCACACCGTTGACAATTTGAACTCCCAGGTCCTGCAAAGCGGCCCTGTGGGCATCTCTCACAGCTGCTGCTTCCGGCGAAGCGGGTCACAGATCCCGAGGGGCAAGGAGAACAAGCGGAACTGCCAGCGGCGGAGGCGTAGGAGCCGGGGGGGCAGGCAGTGCAGCCCTCACTAGAGGAAGAAACGATGTTCGACGCCGAAGTTATGTTGGAGGACATGAAGCCCGCAGCCATGGTTGGCAGACCCGAAGGCTGCTGCTGTCGCCATCACCCGGCATAGCCAGCGCTTCATGAGTTCCTGGTGGACATATGCCTTCGCTGCAAGAGGTGCGGCCCCAGGCATCTGTCCCGCCAAAGCTCGGCTCAATACAAATGCATGAACCATTCCCGCGGATCGCAGCCGTCATGGCCCTCCGCACGTCCCCCTGGAGACTCTCGTCGTCAAGGCAAACACCTCGATTGGAGCATTGAGTTGCGCCGCCTTCGTCAGCGCCTGCACATGGCTCACAAGAGTGCGCAACACCAAGGACCTCCTGCCTGGTATAGAAGCCCTTCTGGCAGCCAGAACAATCAGAGAGGCGGTGCCCCGTGATGCAGCTGCACCGGCCTGAGGCCATGCACACGCCCTTGGAGAGGCATGGGTCCTGGGGGATACAGAAATCCGGTTTCCAAACGATGGTGCCACTCTTCGCCACCTGGATCACTTGCAACACGGCCTCCTCCTCCCAATAGCCAATATCCATCAGACCGAATTCATCCCCCACAAAGGTCACACCTGCTACGCAGGTCAGGTTGGTCCCACACACCAAGCCACCATCAGCAAGACGCTCACAAGACTCGATTTCGGCTCTGTCGTAGCTCCGGTATCCTTTGATCCAGATGCGAAGGCGCACCAAATCGAGGTCCCCGTCACGATCACAATCTACAAACCTCCAGAGGCCTTGGGTCCTGGCTCTGTTTGTCTTTCCCCACCACCCATTCTCGCCAAGCTGAAACTTTTCCTCATCCGGCTTTTGCGACAAGTTGGCGAACGGACTGTCCTGCAATGGCCATTCCATTAAGCTTCCATTGCTCACTGGACCCAGCACCAGATCAAGATCACCATCTGAGTCCCAGTCTACTGCCAGCGGCTGTGACAAAAGAGGCTCCCAATCATAATACGTCTTCGCGGCCTGCTCTAGGTCAGTGGCGTTGATAGAGATCTCAGCGAACGGGTTGTCCTGCCCAATCCTTTGAATCAGAGCTGACCCTTGCCGCTCAAAGTAGCGCAACTCCCCCTGAGAGATGGCTACAATGAGATCCACATCACCATCATGATCCCAGTCAGCGGCATGCAGCCGAATCTTGCGTCCCAGGTAGAGATGCCGATTGTGGTTAGGTGTGGTAGATGAGAAATTTAGGGGCTCCAGGCCTAGTGTGACATTGCTGAAATCAAACTTCTCCTCAACTATGCCCACATCTCCCTGCTTGAAGTAGCGAAGGCCTCCGTCCAGATCGACGGTTATCAGGTCCATTATGCCATCGCCATCCCAGTCCGCAATCACAGGTTCACTGCCGTAGCCAACTGAAAGGCCAGCAAACTCGTTGAGTGTCTGTTCCCGTGGGATAAGTACGCTATGCCGGCGAACCTCATAAAAAGTCTGCTGAGGGGTGTGATCAAGGCTCCTCAAGATCAGCATTGTTTGACCTGACTGCTGCACTAGCTGCGGACGTCTGGAAACAGTAGACCACTGATGCCACTCTTCGAAGCCTTGTTCGAAGGGATTTTCGGCCCCTTTTTTCTCTGTAAAGCTTCCATCTGCCTGCTGGGTCAGCAGGACAAGATCCACAATGCAACCACGCATTCCTTGGCATTCATCACTCAATCTGTCCACCAGGAAGTCGAGGTCCCCATCGGAGTCCCAGTCTACCACTGTGACCGACATGAAGGGGCGACTTCCCAGCGTCTCCAACGGGGTTTGACTTCCAGCTCTCTCAATGACTTCATCTGGCGCGATCCTCTCAAAGAACCGGCCACAATAAATGATGTCAAGATCTGAATCCCCATCGAAGTCGATCGTCTGTAGAATCGGCGCGAATTCCCGGCAGTGAGTGACATTTACAAGGACTTTTTTCTGAAAACCTTCGGAAGATTGCTCCAAAAGCACTATCTTGCCCATCTTGTCTTCCTTGTCAAAGAAGATCACGTCCCAGTCGCCATCTTGGTCCCAGTCCGCCACCTCCAAAGATTGCCCGGATCTTTGGATATCATCGGCGCCCATGCCAAACTCTAGCAAGATGTGTGGGCGCGCACTTCCATTGGACAGCTGCTCGATCAACATCAGCGGCCCAACAGGTATGCTATCAGGCATGTCAACTGGCCACGGGCGCTTGGGATAAGCAGTCACCACGTCAAGGTCACCATCTCCATCCCAGTCGACATATCGGACACTGCCCCACGAGAATCCGCAAATGCCCGAGGTGTGACAATCTTGTACATCTGGAGTGCGCGTTACTTCTACCATCTGGATCCAGTCTTTCATGAAAGTTGGCATTGGCACTTCCACCAGCTGGGATTTGTGGCCGTGACAAAGACCCGTGGGCACCTCAGCGTTTCAAGTTTATGTTCAAGACCACTTTGAAAGCTCTACCAATTGAATCAAGCTCGCTCTAGACCCTTAAACCCCATGCCCGTATACCGATACACCCCCATGCCCATGAAGCCCTAAGCCCCATAACATGCTCCCACCTGGCACCAGTGGCTTGGCTCCGCCGCTGCGCAGGCAGCCACCAGCGTTATCAGGATGCACAGCCGTGCCATCTCTCCAAACGTCAAGATAAGGACCGCAGTGCCCAAGCCGCGTCGCACTGTACAGGCCTATCTCCTGAAGCCAAAACTTCACAGGGCATTTGACATCAAGGAAGAAACATGACTCCCCAGAAGACGCGCACCAAGGCTAAAAACCTAGTCCGCCCCTTCTCGATGGAGAAAGCCGAAGGACGCGTACCAGCAGACAACTGAATGACAGCAAGGACTTCAAGCAATATTCCCGAAAGAAGACAGAACACCGCTATGCTGTTCTGATGTAAATTGCAAATCTTGGCAAAGCACAAGAGAGCACAACATGCTAGAGGTTCTTGATGAAAGCTCAGTATGATGTTGTAATGACAAAGAAGCCTTCATAAGAATGAATTTTAAGCTGTTCAGTAAATAGGCTCGAGAAAGACAAGGTGCTGGAAAGATGTACTATGACGTGGACGAGAGATTTGGCTCAGTGACGGGGACTTCTCTGAAAAAGTTTCGAAAGGGGATGTGGGCAAGCCGGCTTTGTAGACGGAGAATAGACAAGATTGACCTCACTTTCGACGTGCAGGTCATGATTAATTGGTCCATAAGTTTTTTGAATACAACACACAAAACTCCATAGTCTTATCTCTAAGGTCTTCTTTTTTGTTTCGTATCTCTTGTCTTTATTGTTTTATAATTCATATGCCGGACTTCCAAATAAATCAAATTTCGCATTTTCAAAACTAAGCAAAAATATTCATCCCATTATACGAAAATTACTCAAAAAACTACAATATTATCAAATACAGTTTCTCAAAATATTTGGAAAGTCATATATTCCTTTGTATTCTCCGTATAAAATTTCACTTTCCAACCCATTCGCCGATCTCTTCTTTATCCCCGAAGGTTAAAGACGTGGAAAACCATATCGGCCATCATTGCATAGTGTGAAAAATGTAGGGGTCCATTTATTTCTCGGTCACACGAGAGGTACGACGAGCTGAGTTCTGCTGGAACTTTGCAGGGTGCAAGTTTGGAGCACTGAAGCTGCAAAGTGCGATGTTAACAATTTGTAACCATGCCGTCTAGATTGATCTGGGTGGCTTCTTGACGGACTCTCCCACAAATCAGACATGCTGTCAGCACCTTCACAGCGGGCCAACTCCTCCATTGAGCCCCATGTTATCCGCTCCTCCTGCTTGCGGGGTTTTAGTTCATCTTCTACTTTACGTTCATTTGATAAAAGGCATGGGGTTTCTTTAAACTGTGAACTGACATGATGAAATCGAAGAAAATATCCCAACAGCAATGACTTTCCAGCAGGCCCCTTTTCTAAGTTGTGTTCGGCAGGACTGTACGCTGGACGTCTGTTTCGTGAAACTTTATGCGCAACCGATGGGCATCGAAATCCTGGCTAAGCCAGGCTGGGTCCAAAGCACAAGACTTCAAGGGCTCCAAGGACTTTAGGCGCTTCAATACATATGGGAATATGCGAATTGCTGCACGGCACCGGGCAAGGGAAAATCACCAAGAGGAGAGCAGCCTTCTGCTTTTCTCCAGGGCTTCTTGGGGGTGCACCGAAGCCCCGCAAGGCAGGCTCTGCTTACTTCCGCAGTGCCGCCAATTGGGACTTCGTTTCGGGCTGCAGTTTACAAAAAAAAGCCCCAACCCAAGGTTCCGCTAGCCTAACCGGGCGCAAAAGAAGGGTGCTGACTCTCAAGCTGCACAGCCACAAGCGAGCGGCTTCAGCCCATTTCCTGACGGCAGAGTTTGTGAAAGGTTCTTGCAGCCAGGCAAGCACTACCCACGGAGGCCACGCTCCGTGTATGCCAGGCAGATAGCACATCAAAGCCTTTCGATGGACCCCTGAACCTGAACACACGAAGCAACACATAGAAGTGGTGCAAGCATACTCTCGGCTGTACCGTGCCGGAAACCTCATGCCACGACGACAGCTCCCAGACTAAACCGCCTTTGAGATTGAATTGGGAGCATGGGCTGAGACTAGTGCATACTGTAGAGAACAGAGTTGGAGCCTCGGGATTCGTTGGAGCCTCTTTCTATGCTTGCTCGATTCATTGAACAAGCAGCCAGTCACAGAGCTGCATGGCACGGGCCTCCTCCAGCTTGTGCTGCAGTAGCCGCTCGGAGTCGGGATATCCTGCGCGAGGGAAGCGCCGATATCCCATGGGCTCGGTTGTTTCGACGACAACCTTTGCACGACTCGCAGGCCTTTTCCTTGTGCTTCATGGTTCGGCCTGAGCGAAGAGACGCCACGGACACACCTCCACCTTTCCGCCACGGACAAGTTTCAGCCCCTGCATGGCAAGAAGCAGAGAGGCGGCAGAGGCGGCACCTGAGACACGCATTGGGTCCAATATGGTCCAATCATAGGGTCATACACACGAAGACGATGGCGGTGCCTGTGGCCGTGCGCCCTGTCACAGCAGTCCAATCCTTAGATGATGGGTCGCCCGCTCACAAGCGACACGGTCTGAAAAATCGCAATACAGTCGACAGCCAAGGAGCCATGTCGTTAACAGAAAGGCTTAGGTGTCGAGAACATGTACGAGAGCCATAATGAAAAATGATACAAATCAAACAGGTGTCGTGGCGAAGGTGAACATGCCACCTGGTAATGAGCAGGACCTATGCCGTGCAATTTGCATCAGACCACAATCTGGTGATTGAGAACGTAATTTTCCACCTTTTCGCTGGGAGTCGCAAGTGGGCTTTAAGCACGCGTGCATCTACATGCATGTGCAATTGATGTTCATGCAGTCTTCCGAACTTTTGGACGCTTATGTCGTCCTGCGACTCAAGAGGAACTTGCAAGAACAAGCGAGCCCGACAGTCCCTGCAACGTGATTTTGTCTTCCACTGATACCGGGAGCGGTCAGCTGCGCAATAAGAGTTCGAATTGCGGCTCTCTACCGCCTTTGGATCAGACCGCAAAGCTTTCAGTCTTGCAATTCAATCCCTTCGCAACACTTCTTAATTCAAAACTTATTTACCTGCGGCTAAGGCTGGGAGGCCAAGGACGAAAAGAAGTCGTGCTGTTTACACTTTCGTTGGCATGACCTTGAGACGATGCTGCTGCCGAATCAGGCCCAGTTTAGGCCACAGTGCGTTTTGCCACACAGTCTCACCAAGCTCCGGACCATATCCCACATCTCATCTGCTTCGACCTCCTCATCCTCCTGAATATACGATCCAAGAGTATAAAAATCTTCAGGTGGCAAGCCTCCCACGTCGAGCTGTGCTGCAAAGGTTCTAGGTGCATGTGCTGGTGTCGAGGCTGGTAGGACCCAAACACGCGGAAGCTCCCAAGTGCATGCCCATCCTCAAGCCGCCTGTGCGTGATGATCCAAAGCATAATATGATTAATATAAGCTGAAACCATTTTCCAGAAATCTCAAATGGCCCCTAGGTCCTGTCCTGATGGTCGTCGGGGAGCGGAACCACCGAAGTCTCGTCCGACACTCGGGACAGCGTGGCAGGACGCCTCGGAGCTGCAACGTGAGGTTCTTTGAGCTACCAAGGCCTCTGCAAAACCTCTAAACTTAAACCGAACTGCTGGCAACTGTTCTGGAGCATGTTTTCAGGCCCGTGCGCTCTGCTCAGCTCTGGATCGAGCTCCTAGCGCTGGTCAGGGTCGCCACTAGCTCTAAGACATATGCCAATGTATGTATGTATATGTATATATATATATATTATAAACATTTACATACACACTATGTATACTAATACACAACATGATCACATGCTGAGTGCTAGCGAGGCCGGAGCTTGATGCATTCTGAGTGGAGAACCTGATCCGAATTGGTGGAACTTTTGCGAGGGTGGAGGCTGGCCTGGCGTTGGCATAGTCGCAGCGGTGTGTCGACAAGCTTTGTGTGCAAACTGTGCAACTTCTGCAATGGTCCGTCACATCCGACCTCGTCAGCCATGTGGAACTCTACTGGCTCCGCAGTTGCCTCCAAACCGGAAAGCCATCAAAACGAAAAGCAACGAGCTCCCTCAAGCGGAGGTCGGACAAACGAGCAGTAACGCCTAACGCATGAGTAATGCCTGAGACTCAGAGAGAGAGACGCGGAGGTTTGTTGTGTAAGGGAGTTGAGACCTCGCCGCCCACGCTTCTTCGCCGTTCAATCTGCACCTCGTCCTGGCAGCGCAGCTCTTTGAGCTCAACTGAGCGCATCTTCATGCGTGGCCTCTAAAGTCTCCAGCGCTTCCTCCTTCTTCCGCAGCTCCTGAGACTTCTCTCAGCAAAGGCGAAGAGGGGCGAAGTGGGGTCGACGGTCGCAGCATGTCGCAGCTTTTTAAAGAAGGTGAGACGCGGCTGCGGCAGAAGCACTCCCTTCTGGGAGTGCCGAGCTTGCACGTTAACTGGGGGGCGAGCGAGCTAGCCAGTTTTGAGTGTCCTTCGGCTGGTGTCTGGGCACATGGGAGGACGATTGGGCGTTGTGAGGAATCGTCGTTTATGACATCGGAATCATGGGAAGCGGCAAAGGCTTAGCCTTCGGATCCAGTCGCTCGCATGAAACGGTCCGAGCATTGCTCCTTGCATAATGTAATGATAAACGCGAAGACTGCAACAGTTGATGAGTAGTTCATGGGCGAAGTTTGCAAGAAGCGACTCAGCACCACCATGGGTGACACAGTTGCCTGTACAAGCAAACCCGCACGTTAATTTGCAGGTCATGTGCCATGAAATGCCATAAGCAGGGAGCCTTACAGCAAGCTGTTGTTGCCAGCAGCCTAATTCGTGCTGCTGACCTCTTCGTCGCAAGCTTCTCCGACACAAGCCGACCATGGAGATGAACTCGTCGGTCATGGCCCAGCCAGCATGGACGCACGCTGCTGCCTCACATCTCAGGCATCGCTCGGCCCTGCTCACTCGCTTTCAGCCTTCGGCCGCTTGCCGGCTGCCAGAATGCAGTAAAGATACTGCTTCCGGAGAACCCGCGAGCAAGCGTGGTTGATGTTGCCGGTGTTCTCATCTGTGAGGCGGCGCATCCTGTGGTTCAACTGTCAGGCTTGCAGTTTGCGTGAACACAACACATGACAACCCTCTGGTTGTGTCCCTTTCTATTTCCCAGTTCATTCCAAGAATCACTTGCAGAAAGTGGGGAAATCTCAGCAGCAGCCTGTGCTCGGGGTGCACCTGGACGGCGGAGCCGACAATCGCACTCGGAAAACTCCTCTCCCCCACCCCCAATTGTTCATGATCAAAATTTGGAACCGTGGGCCTCCCGGACCATGGCGCTCAGGAGACTAACATCGTCCTCACTCATGTCGGCGATGCGGCCTTTGGGGGTGTGACAGCTTTGTATAAACAAACAGGCGGGTAAGTAATCATAAAATTCTACTCACAGACATCGTCATAGTACGGACTTCGTCCGCGTCCAGCCTTCATGGTCTGAGGGCTACAGGAATGGAGCTCAGAGCAACCAGGGATGACACTTGCAAGGCTTGGCGGCGAGGTGATGAAAATACTGGGAAGGCAGGGGTTTCCAGGAGGTCTTCATGATTTACATCTTCCGCTGATCCGCCTACGAGGAGTGGTGGTGCAAGTGGCGTGCCATCTTGTTGCAAATGCTCCAGGTTTGTAAAGCGCGAGCAGGAGAAGATCTCGAACATGTGCCAATGCATGTGCAAAAAAGTACGTGCACTGGCGGCAGAAGCAAAAAGCCATGGCTCAAGCAACAGAAAGCCCCTTCAGCCGGCCAACTACCAAGCAGGAGCAATGCTAAGCCAATCCGAAGGCACCCTTTGCTTTTTGTTGGCCCGAAGGCCTAAAGTTCTGAATTACAACGATTCTGACACAGGCCATCACTGCTAAATTGAGACCTGGAAGTTGTGATTCCGGCTTGCGAGGTGGTGATCAGTTTCTCGGGGGCTCCTCACGGCTTCCCGGCCTCCCACGCCTCCAACCAAACCAAACCGCAAAAACCTAAATTCGGTAATCAAACCGCTTGTAGTCCATTGGCGGCTGGAGGTCTTCTTCAGGGAATGCTTGTGAAGGATCCATTTAAGTGGGCGACAAAGGACTCGAACGTACCCTGAAACTCTTTCTAGAAACAGCAGGATATGGCGGGCTGCACAATCTCAGGTTTCAATTTTCATCAGCAGCGCTATTGCAAAATGTACGTTGCCTGATCCGAGTTGGATTCTCCGCCGAGCAGCTGATAATGGTAAGAAGGGAGTCGAAGGTCAGCTCTCGGACCTGAAAAAGTGATGCAGTCTGCCAAGGATGGTCCTGAGACCTCTGTAACTACATGTTGCCACTCTTCCACAGTCCAACCTTCAGCCTCCCTGGGAGTGCATCTAAGCCGCCCAATTGGAATGCAAGTCGAAGATCCTGAGAATAGACTTGTAGGACCGCTGTTTCCCAAGACGCCAAGATGCGACTTTCCAGGTTGCTGGCCAAGGCTCTGCCTGAAACCCTCCACCTCTTCGTAATCCAAACCCAGCTCATCTACCACTTGCCTTTGAGCAACTCGATTCCACTTCAAGCTGCGCTGTCTTCTCTGCGACAAGTGTGGTCCAAGGAACTTTTCCGCATGAAGATCCTCAGGAAAACACTTTGTTTTGAAGGCAATCCGACAAAAAAACACTACGACTTCTATCCGAATTTCTATCGGGGCGAAGCAGCTCTCTCGTCGCGAATGTCGTCACATCTTCGCATGAGAACCAGCAGAGTGCTGAAAGAAAGTCGGCCAAGTCCTTCTTGATCCACGTCCTTCGCCGGTTCTTGCTTGCCGAGCGATCTGCGAAGGTTTGCCAGCTATGCAGGTGTTTGCTAACACATCTCCCTTGCAGCTTCTGACATCACGACACCTTCCTGGCAGCCCTCATAAAGGCGTCAGGCTCCGAAATAATAATGTAGTATAATATGATATAATCTAATGGTAGTATATACTATACTACAGCGAAAAAACCACAAGTCCTTGAGGATGATTTGCACCTCTGCTCGGCCTTCCTCGGCTTCCATGCCGCGGCTGATACAATCGTAGTGGCTCGGACCTTTAAAGACCATCCTGGACCGTAAACCGATGGAACTGTGCGTGTTATCGACTCCTTCTTATGCTTGGAGAGGAGGGCCTGAAAATGACCCATCCGAAGTCTCTCCCCAGCACGGATGCGCTTACGAAGTGTTCATCACAGATCCAAGGAACCTTCGACTTCGTGGCCTGAGCGAAACACATGCTCGAGGCACAAGAACGGGTCAGTCTGCAGTCTCAGCATGTCTCAGCAACATGCCAGCAGGGGTTCCCTCCTTTTTCGGGCTGGGTAAGTGTGTCGGCACGACAGACACCGATGAGTACTGGCTTATTGCTTGCGTGACTTTGTATGCTGCAGTGTTGCCTCAGGAAAGTATTCCGCAATGATCTTGGCGAGCTCGGTGTTTTCGACGGTACCGCTCTTGTCCTGTGAAGGATGGACATGGGTGCAGTTGTGCTGTAGCCTGCTGTACACAGCACGAAGAGGCTGGCCCGAAATCCTTGTCGAATCGGTCGAAGCAGTCGCGAAGAGCCACCACCTGAACAGGACATCGTGCTGTGGCAAGCAACCAGAGATTACCGAACATGTGCATAGGACTATGCTCAGTGTCGGTACCGCATCCAGCCTCGCTCGGAGTGTAGCAAGCGTTGTGCCGAACGTCCTGGATCAGCAGCTTTCCTTGCTGAGTGCGGATGCGGATGATCCACACGATTCATGCACTTGGATGCCGCCAAGAGAGAAACAGCGGACTCGTCTTGACGTTCTGCGATGTTTGCAGCAGCACATTCGAGGAGGAGCAGTCTCGAAGCCCGCATTCTACGTCAGAACATACCGACCAGCCTGTTCCCTGCCGCCACTTCACCTTGCAGACTCCATTGCAGACTAGTGTCTGAAATTCCTGCAGAACAACTCGAACGCAGACCGCGACACGGCATTCTTCCTTGGATTCGTACTCAGTATTGGCTTTATCGCGTGCAAATGCTCGGATGAAAGCCGCGTTGTATGCCACCGCCAAGGGACGTGTCTAAGAGCGAGAAACCCGCCGTTCGCGCAGCTTGCTCTCCCCTCTTGGTCATGCCAACGCTGGTGTCGTCATAGAGCTTCCTGACATTTAGGTTCCCACCCACTAAAGATGGAACACACACGGTCTACACTGAGCTAGTTGGTGTATGTTGGTCTAGCAGCGCCCAAGCCAACAATAAGATTCACTGACAAGCTTCGTGAGGGCAAACGGAAGCTTTGACACAGGCACCTTGGCCGGGCCAGCCACCAGGGTTGAGGAAAATGCCATGCAAGGTGTTTGCCCTGCCCAAATGCTTTAGTGGCCTTCTGGGGGCTAGCACATGGCTCGACTCTGATGACCAGAGGAATCAGCAAGTTGTTCCCAGCTGTATGCTGCACACTTCCAAAGAAGCAGGACGAAATCTGTCATCCCGTGCGCCCACGAATCACTCACAATGTTGAGCGAGCTGAGCCCAGCAAAGTTGAGGCCCTTGCATGTCCATTGCCTCTGCTGTCTAGCATCGCGAAGACATTCCATTGCTTCTCCCTCTCTTCCTTACCAGAGGCAGTACGACAGGCACGAGGAATAAGTGTGAATCTCCCTGATGGGAATGAGCAATGATGCCAGGAGTAGTCTTCTTACGGGCGACACCGAGATCTACGGGCTGCTCTGAACGTCTCGACGCTTGACAAAGCTGAGCTGCCAAGAAGAAGCCGTGCATCAACTTCAAGAACCTGTTGACCAAAGAAACCCCTGCGTTGGAATGCTGCAGGCGGAAACACATCGAGAGCTTCAGTTGCAGATGAAGTCACCCCTCGAACTCCAGCTTGCCAGTGCCGTCAAGATCGAACTGTTCGAGAAGCTGTTGCACCTGGCTCTGGCGCGCCAAGTCAGAGCGCACTGACAATCGCAAGGTTGGCACAAGGCCTCCTGCATGGGCTTGGCAAAGTTGAACCATCGCATAACGCGGCTCCTCTTTGCGGGAAAGCCCATCCAGCTGGAGGGCTGCCGGCTGCCGGCACCACATTACAAATTGACTGCAGCCATGGAGCGCTTGCAGTGAGTCCAATGCTCGGACGATGGGCGCATAGTCCTCCAGAGACGTGTTGCTGCAAATCGGCATCGACAGCCAGCAGCAAGCCTAAACGGCACTCACATCAAGTCTTCATTTGCAGCTGGAGCGTCGAAGTTGAAAGGACTGCCCGGTCGCGGAGAGCTGCTTGCCTTGGGAGAAGGGACCTGACTCTCGTGAAACCGGAGATTTCGGAATCCATCACGAAGAATCTTGCAGCAGCGGCTTCAGCGGCTCAGTCCTCTGCCGGACTCAGCGCGGAAGCTTTCGGTGCCGCCGGTTTGAGCTTTGTCGCAGATTCTGGCTTCGCAGGCGCGGGTGTCCTGGACTTGCATCTGTGAAAACTGCGGCTGACCTCTGGTCGGCCTACATATAGCCAAGATGCTTTGGGCTGGTCATGCTGGTCACGGCGGGATCCTGCTCCAATTGCTGAACGAACTTTCGCTGTGATGTCACCTGCCGTGCAGACAAGGGATGGCACGGTCAGGGGCCGCACGTGTATAAACCGTGGCTGCCGTAGCTACGTTGCAGCTACATGCACAAGCGCCCACCTTGCACTGATGATCAAATGCCTCGCGGATGTCAGCCGTCTCAAGGTGTGTCAAACCTTCTCTCTCACGGAACTCACGGAGGAAAGAAGCCTCGGAATCTGCACAGATCATCACAGACTCACAAACCGCAACATTCCAGGCTGTAGTCGCTTTGTCGGACAGGACTTTCAGATACAGTTGCGCGAATATACGCAAGCTCCCCGCCCTGCATAGCGTCAGAACCTGCTGCCAAAAAGCTATCTGATCCCGGGTCATGTGCGTTTGGTTGTCGAGCGGATACAAGTCGTCCAGGATGGAGAAGATGAGATCATCTGAAGGGAAATACCTTGGAGTCTTTGCTCTCTCACCCAAAACTAAAAAACAGCGCGTCAGACCGAGTGGCTTTAGCTCCACGAGTGCACGGGGAAGATCTTGCATCTGCAAGGGGGAGCCATCCTCGGTCAAGAGATCGAAGACGGAGGCGATGGCCTCTCGCTCGGCATCGCGGACCCTGCGGATCAGCTTTAGCAACTCCTCCAGAGTTGGATCGCTTCAGACGACACACGTGCAGCAGGGACAAAAAAAGCTCTGCACGGACTTGCTGTCCCTCCTGGAAGCTGATGTACCCACTCTCGTCATTATCCACCTCCTTTGCGATGGCGTCGAGCTTGTCTGCGCTGATACTGTACCCCAAGTACCTTCGCATTCGCTGGCATTTATCGCGCACATTCCATGGTTTCGGAATGCTTTCAGCTTAGTCTCCTGACAAGGCGGGAAACATCTTCCACAGGCATCTCCTGTGTTTCAGCAATCAGCTTCTTGGCAATATCACTCTGGCTTCCAGCTCCTTGGCACTTCGAGATTTCTCGCGGTAGGTGGTGTGGATTCCAAGTGAAACTTGCTCTACAAGCGGCCGATGTCCACTTTTCGTGACCTGCTTTCGGCCTTTCATAGCAGATTCGCAGCTATGGAAAGGGCAGAGGTGCGGTCCTTGCCAGCTACCAAAATGGGCTCGCTGTGCCTTTGCAGTTCTTGCCATGCGATCGTAAAGAGTTCGAAGCTCCTGGACGTCGTCTTTGGCCAAGCCTCGAGCACATCAACACCAAGACTCGTCTTCAAGAGACTAAGACCAAAATGGCCTTCGGTGCATCGCAGATGTTCCCGCAGCTTTTCGAATTTTCGCAGATTCACCTCGAGTTGAGACAGCTTCGACTGCAAGGCAGCTGATGGCACGGCTGCAGGGCTGCAGCGGAAATTGTGATACTATCGTTACTATAGTCTTTACGAAGATACGAATAAACTACATGAGCGTAAGGCTTCTCCCCTCAGGCTAGGAACACAGCCGGAGACCCCGCAGCCGATTGTGTCCATGGCCTCTTGCACAGTGTGTGCCTCAGCTGCAAGATGTCTCAGGGCACAGACTGTGCGCAGCTCGAAGATATAGTGGTAGGTCTGGTCTGGGGTGCCCACAGCTACCAGGAGTTGATGCGTTGGGCATGGTTGGGCCTTGGATCCTCTTAGCTGCTGTCGGTTTGGGATGTTGGTATCACGGCAACATCTTAAATCTAAAATAATTAAGCTGCCACCGCCACAGGAATGGGTGTTTGGGTCTGAAAACCCCGTAACAGTTGCGGGTGCCGGATCTTGACATGTTGCGAGGTCTGAACAGTGCCAACAATGGTCTAGTTTGTCGATTCTGGGGAGGGCGAGGAGTAGATTGGAGCTTGAACCGGGAGGAAGTCTAGTCCCCAAATCCAAACCCACCCAACCACACAACACCAGAGACGGGGGTGTTCATCAAACAACATTGGGCGTGGCAACACTGCAGCATGGATTCTTTTAGATTTTTCCGCCCCAAGGCACTTCTGTCACATAGCCCATCTTGTTCAGAAGTGCACGCAACTCCTGAACATCTAGGACGCCGTTCCCGTCCGCATCTGCGGCTGCGAACTCTTCCCGGAGGTACTGTTCATCCACCTGGCTAGGATTCAGCCCGTACTCGAGAGGTAGAACAACTGTCGAAGCCGGCCTCCGCCGCTTGTACAGGGATAGGGGTCTGGATAATTAGAACGGGGTTTGGGGGCAATTTTTTCTACTCCAGCATAGCAAGGAACCTTAAGGAATCATATTGGTCATCTTTCAGGCCTCTATACTAGCTGCATGCACTCAAGCAGCAGAAGCAGAGACGACATGCAGCACACGCTGTGCACGCCCTGAGCTGCCTCGCGATATCTCTCCAAAAAAGTCATCCACTCCTGGATCCAATTCTATCAGGCTCTAGCGAGTCTCACTAGACGAAAGGGACAACGACGCTGGCCAAATCAGACGGACTGGCAGGGCGATTGTATCATCAGCAGTCCTCCCAACTGACGGTGGCATAGCTGAACATGTCCTTGACGAGTCTTTCGATCTCGCCCGGCCGAAGAATGCAGCCCATGTACCTGCGGAGCGGGAGCCGTGAACCCATCCAAAGTAAAAGCCGTGACCAAATCCACGCCTTGCAGTGTCCGGAAGCCCCTAACCATAGAGCTCCGGATGACAATGACTGGGATCAATTTCCGGCAGCACCCGAAAGCTCTTTCTCCCACGAGTACTACCCAAGAAATGGAATCGGGAATGATCTAGCATCTGTCTACTTCACCTACAGCAACTCCGACTTCGACGAGCACGCGGTCTTTGCTGCTATCGCACTCGTGCTACCACTGCACCTGAGCATCATTTGCAACTCTTCAGTCGCCACCTCACCGTCCTCAGCTGGCTTCGGTACAGTGGTGATGCCATTGCTTCGGTTCATTCTTGGTGAGTGGCGGTATCGGTGTCGAACTTGATGAAGACGCTACCTTGGTTCTCAGAGCCGCTGGAGTTCACCTGACCTAAGTAGCCGTGGCCTTCACTCAACCAAGGCAGCCGAGCCTCGGCATTCTTCGTCGCTCCAGGGAAAGTCCAGTTCAGCATCGTTGTCACCCTCAACCCCATTGTCTTCCACTTTTTTCAGGAATGCCTGACCAGCTGACGCTCACAGCCCGAAAAAACACACACAATACGGTGTGGTGTGAACCTTGGACACCGAAACAGTCAACAGTTACCTCTTCCCCAGTTGTGAGATGTCGTACGGGCGATTTTGGCAATCAGGCCTCCGCAACGGAGGACCGGCGAACGGGCTGGTTGTTGGAGTCGAGCAAAGGCAACATCATTGCCTCAGCTGGAGTCTCAACTGCATGAAAGCTGCCCCAACTCCAAAATCGAAAACCTCGTTGAATCAGATAGGCCTGCAAGATTGCAAACAAGGTGCAAATGCTGACATTCGACGGGTAAGCCCAGAACTCCGCTTATTGAAGGACAGCCGCCGAGCTTCCTCATCCTCACTTGAGTCTTCCAGGTCGCTCGACGAGTCCTTGCACGGTTTCTACCCTCCCTCAAAGCGACGCCTCCGAAATCAGACCGACATGCTTGGGACTACTCATTTAGAGCCGCTGGCTCGTTGAAAGGCTCGGGCTATGGAAGGTTCCGTCATGAGGGGGCCGAGAGATCGTCCTCATTAATGCACCAAGGAACGCTGGAAGAGTCCGATGTCAAGGATGAGGAATCGGAGCTGTCCGACTCTTCCTCCCTCTTCTCAAGCTTCTCTTCCGTTTTTGGCTCAGGAGCCTGAGCCTCCACCACAGCTAAGGGCTCTTCGAGATCCACGGTGTCCACCCGGAACTCGTGCGTCTCCAAACCGCCTCCCCAGGCGGCCCTCTTCCGATTCTTTGACTTCGAGGAGGGCCGAGTCGGGGAGCTTTTCCTGGGTGCCTTCAGCAGCAGGCTCTCGAGCCTCTTCTTGCTGTGCTTCAGTGGGAGTTTCGGGCCTCCCCGGCAGTGCCCAGAGCCACCAAAAGCGGGATTGGAGCGGAGACTGCCGCTGGTCATCACCGACAAACTCTGATCCGAGAAGTTCATGCTCTGGATGGAATGCATGATTCGGCTAAGAGACGGCAACTTTGCTGGAGGTGCGGTTGCTTTGGCTCCGGGCCGCTCCCATTCTACACCTCTCTCAAAGGCCATGAAAGGTAGCCGTTGGCTTCCGCGGCTGGCGACCTTGGCTGCTTCTGAACCACAAATAGTCTGTTGCAAAGCCTCTACATGCGGTCTACCTGAGATGGGAGATGCACAGCCAAGCAGCCGCACCTTTCTTGATGTCTTTGATCGAGAAAGTTTTGGCATGAAGGTCCACCGAGCACAGCTGCAAAGGCGCGACATAAGCCTTCTTGATATTGGGAAGGCTACTCGACTTTCCGAGCTTTGAGCGCGGCGGACTCCTCGACTTCCTCGACCTCATCGATGGCGCTTTGGCCGCTTTGGCATCATGCCGAGCAAAGCGGCTGCGGGCATGCTAATGCCACGTAGGCCCCCCACCCATACCCCGTCGGGATCATCCAGCATCGCATGCAGAACATCAGGTGGGCCCGAACTGCAAATGCTAAACAATGACCTTGACACAAGCACCCTCAGAACAGAACAGAACCCACATCAACTCCCCAGAACAAGGACACCAGAAACACAGGCCGAGCAAGAGCTGAGCAGGCTCCTCCTCTTTCTCAAGCAGGCGGATCTCGCGATCCTCCTGCCTGGCACATCAGGTGGTGCGCAAGATATTCTTGGGCTCATATGTGCCAAGGTGAAACCTGTCTGAGGGACTTCGATTGCTCGCTCCACTGAGATAAATCCATTGCACTAGGAAGCAAACCCCAGCCGGGCCGACTCTTCTTTCCAGGCCCTCTGCTTTGCCTCGAACTTTGCCCAGGCATGGGCCAAGGATGTAGAACACACCTCCGGGGCGCTGATCTCGTCTCTAGTCAACAACACCCGCAAATACAGCTGCTTCAGCCGGTTTTCCTCGTCAGCGGTGAAGATTGCATCTTTGGCAAATCAAAACCCTGCTAGCAGGTCAACGAGCTCATTTGGCTCACCACAGCCACGGACGATAGCCAATCCGGATCGCCGCTTTGCGCTGCAGACGGGTCAGCTGTCTCCAGCCAGTTGTGGCCTGAGTTGCAAGGTGAAGCATCTTGGTGACAAGGTCACCCCTTCCATAACTGGCCAGGGGGCCACGGCACTTGGCAGCTCTTCATTCCTTTGCCGTCAGCATGCAAGGGGCTCATCAGTGGGACAAACGGGCCGCGGGTTGATGCAGGCACGTGGCAGAGTGGAGCGATCAATGCCCAGGCGCTGCCTCAACGGATTTCAGGAAGCATTCTCTGAATTTTTCATCTCGTCAAAGCTGCTTCATACAATCAGTCGAACTCTTCTCCAAGATGAACAGAAGGCACGGCGCCCGGACAAGGCAGGCAATTTTGACAGGCTGCCAGTCTCGCTGCTGGCTCTTCGTCAAGCAATCCCAGAACTGGAGGTGAGTGCTTCCTGATCTGCACAGGATGATGTCAGTCATCTCTTTCGACGCAGCCTGGGTTGCATGCCGAGCACTTGAATGCAGGTGTTAGCCGTCACGACATGTGACAAAGGAACATTAGATTGATTACATAGACGCATCGAGCGTGCTACAAGTAAAGTAACACACACTACTTACTGGATACTAGTTTGCTCCCGGTCTTGGTTGGGAATGGGAGGAAGTGGAATTCTTGTTCGAAGCATAGTGGGCTGAGGCCAAAGGATTCACATCTCAACCACAGCACCCTGAATATACCAGAGTTACTAGACTCTAGATGCAAAGCCCCTAAGTACGTGCTTAGCACGAGGCCCAGACTGCAACCACGATGCATTCCATGTCTCTTCAGAGAAGCCTAAGCAAGTGGCGGCTGCCTTCTCCTCAGCTGCCATTCCGCCGGTTCCAGCCCTCACTCCTGCAAAGCCTTGCTCTTCATTCATTAACGTATCTACTGGCCAAGGATGGCAGGATCCACTATAAAGAATGGCTGATCTGATGGCTCACTGAGTGGCAGGGAAGCTCAGCAGCAGCCACTTCTTGAAGCCAGAGGCCGGCTTCCTGTTTCAGAAACCCCCAAAAAAGAGATGCAAAGACTAAGACCTCTCCGATTGTCTCTGCATTTCTCCGCGTCCTGGCTTGCCGCATCCAGGAGAGCTTTCTCCAGCCTAACCTGCTCCAGCAGCGCCGCGCTTTCTTCGGCATGCCTGCACGCAGTCCCACAAGAGGCCACGATCGGACAAGCCTTCTACCAATCGGATCCAAGCAATGGATAGTGGCTTCAGGTTCAACGGACGGCTGGCATGGATTACATTCATTGCTGAAGCAGAATAAAGTGGACAAAGAGAATTCCACCAGTCCTCAAAAAGGAGCACCGCACCGCTTGCCTTGCCAGTCTTGAAAGAGGCTTGGCACCCCCTCTGGTAATGGTGTCCAAAGCGTTGGGCAGGTCAATCCGCAATGCTCCTTGTTACGCGAAGATGCCACCCTGTCACATCTAAGGCGCCTGTGGGACCAAAACCCAGCAAGAATTGACTTCAACCAAGCGGCCCTTCTTCCCTCATGTGCAAGCTCGTCCTCAGGCGCAGCAAAGTTTGCAGAAATCGTGCCAATTCATAGCACTGCAACGATACACGTCAGCGTGGACAAGCGGCGCACAGCGAGTACCTCCAGCGCAGCGCAGGGCTTGCCCATCAGCGCACAACGAATCTTGTGCATCGTTGGCAAACTTGCAGCAGAGTCGCAACTCCTTGTCGAAGAAAGGCCAGGCGCTTCCAATTGTACCGTCCAGTCTACCAGCCAAGACCTCTGCTATGCTTTGGCCACCCGCATCCCGCATCAAGTCAAAGGCAATTTGGGGGGGAGTGATACCAAAGCTCCCGATGCTTTGGCACCAGGCTGCCCTTCCGGCATCGCACAGTATCACACGTAATAAGGCTTGGCTTTCGGTTGATATACGATGGCAGGCAACAGCGGGGAGGGAGGCCTCATGTGCAGCGCGTGCCCCCGAGACGATGGCCGCCTGACAGAGACTTTCAATTTCGACCCCAGGCTCATATAGCCATATGGCCCTCGGAGATGTGGACCCACACATGAAGGATTGGGAAGACGCGATCAAAAGCTCCCGAACGACAAACTCTCGAATCTTCTTGGTTTTTGTCCTCCCCAGTCTCGGTGTGACATGAAGTGCACCTGAACTGTGCCGAACCCCGCGCCATAGATACCATAAGCCGCAAGGGCTGTAGCAAGGACAATGGCAACAACCGCCGTTTGTCTGAAGACTCGGTGACCCTTTTGCATCGGGCTTTCGCAGACTGAATGATCCAAAACCCCAAACCGCTATCGCCTGAGCAGTTCCGTACATCAAACGGCACGTGTGCTCGCCGGCGAAGGCCATGCCTGGTGTGCGGCCACGCATTGCAATCTGCCGCTGTCTTCAAATCAAGGGGACACCCCGAAGGATTGTCGTAGGGCGCTCTATGGAATTCATGCTGGGAGTATCTGATTGTTATAGGCTTCTTCGAACACTCCCATAGCTTGTCTGACCCGCCTGGGATCGCCTGCTGGAAGATACTGAAATCTCGGCTGCTGGAACCCACCTGGCTAGAGCTTGCACTCCTTCGGGACATGACGGAATCGCTGAAGGCGGCGGGGCTAGCAGAACCGGTACTGGGCCTTTCCCGACGTCCAGGATCCCAGAACCTGACACGTCTTCTGAGCTGCCAAAACTGTCCTGTCCGTGTGGCGACATGTGCTGCCGAGGCTCGGAAGGGTCCCAGGAGAAGGACACGAGCTGTACAGCCTCCACGGCGGTCGGCTGCAGTTCTGGATACCTCAGCTGTGCCGGATGTGCATTGCAATGTGCGCTAGCCGCTAGTGACGCTAGTGCTGTGCTGCAAGCGGCCAAGCTGCATCTGCAAGAGCTCCTCTACAACGCGGCTCCGCAAGGCTTGCTTGCCGGCCTGCTTCAACTTCAGCACCTGGCAGAAAGTTCATTGCCGCCTACATCCGGGCATGGGCCCACCCGGCCTCTGCAAAGGAAGCACCGGACAGCAGGCAAATCAACATGCTCGGCGGTACAGGCCTGTCAGCCCATCTTCGATGTCTGACTTTGCTTGTAAGCGAACAGCAATGCCAGCAGCCGAACAAGTCCAAAATTCTTGCTCATGCCAGACAGGCCGCACGGTGGGGGGCGTGGTCGATGTAGCTGCTTCCCCTTTCAGCGCATCCCGCGTCACCACAACCGTGCTGCTTCTGTCTGATCGACGATACGGCCGCTTGCATCGCACGTGTAGCCAAGCCACAAGTGCAGTAGTAGAGGAGGCTCCGTGATGTCTGCGATACCAGTTTCGAGAGCAGGTAAGTGCCGTTTCCTTCGTTTGCAGCGGCAGAAAGGCTGTCTGTTCTAGCTTCGGTGCTCTTTCTTCCCAGTTTTGCTGCGGGCGGCGCCCTGTACTAACTGCAGATTTCCCCGCCACGCCTTTACCTTTGCTGCCCTAGAGCCTGAAGCCGACCATTGCTTTGTTTCTCGCATCTGCGCGGATCTTTGGCATGGCCAACCACAACGCTTGAGCTGGTTCCTCTTTTGACGCCTCTTTTTTTACACCTCTATGTACCAGAGCGTCCACGCATTGCAACCTCCTTGTGCATGCGAACTTATTCGTCTGCTTCTCCCAGCATACAGTTTGCCCGCTCCCTTTGCATAAAGTGCGAGCCGTCTCTCTGTGCGGCAGAGCCAGCTACAAAGAGGGGCCTTAATCACATCAGTTTTTGCTGGAAGACCCTGGCAGTACTATTTGGTAGATGTGATGGGGTCACATCATGGTC